CGTCCAAAGAACTGCAGGCCTCACTGGCCTCAGTTAAGGTCAGCATTCATGCCTCCACCATCAGAAAAAGACTGGGCCTGAATGGCCTGCATGGCAGAGTGCCAAGAAGAAAACCACTGCTGAGCAAAAAGAACATTAAAGCTCGTCTCAATTTTTCCAAAACACATCTTGATGATCCCCAAGACTTTTGGGAAAACATTCTGTGGACCGATGAAACAAAAGTGGAACTGTTTGGAAGGTGTGTGTCCCATTACATCTGGCATAAAAGGAACGCTGCATTTCAGAAAAAAATAACAGTAAAATATGGAGGTGGTAGTGTGATGATCTGGGGCTGATTTGCTGCATCAGGACCTGGAAGACTTGCTGTGAAAAATGGAACTATGAATTCTGCTGTCTACCAAAAGATCCTGAAGGAGAATGTCCGACCATCTGTTTGTGAACTCAAGCTGAAACGAACTTTGGGTTCTGAAGCAGGACGATGATCCTAAACACAGCAGCAAGTCCACCACTGAATGGCTGAAGAAAAACAAATGAAGACTTTGGAGTGGCCTAGCAAAAGTCCTGACCTGAATCCTATTGAGATGTTGTGGTATGACCTTAAAAAGGCCGTTCATGCTAGAAAACCCTCTAATGTAACTGAATTAGATCAATTCTACAAAGATGAGTGGGCCAAAATTCCTCCAGAACGCAGTAAAAGACTCATTGCAAGTTATCGCAAACCCTTGGTTGCAGTTGTTGCTGCTATGGGCGGCCCAACCAGTTATTAGGTTTAGGGGGGAATCACTTTTTCACACAGGGCCATGATGGTTTGCATTTTTTTTCTCCTTTAATAATAAACACCTTTATTTACAAATTGCATTTTGTGTTTACTTGTGTTGTCCTTGACTATTGTTTAAATTAGTTTGATGTTCTGAAACACTTAAGTGTGACAAACATGGGAAAAAACAGGAAATGAGGAAGGGGGCAAACACTTTTTCACACCACTGTATGTATATATATATATATATATATATATTACATTACAAGACGGCTGGTAAGTGCTAGGATCAGCAAAACTTGTAAGGGACAGCTGTGCCGTTAGCAGAAAATGGGGATAGAACGGAATAGAATAACCTTTATTGTCCCACAGCAGGGGTTAGGGACCGTCTTTAGTCCATCCTGGGATCCAGGCGTCGACCAGGATCACAGGATGATGCGTTGCTCAACATTTTAGTTTTAGTTAAGGAGCCCCATCAGGCTTCTTTACTTGTTGTTTTTATTATTATTATTTCTGATTAACTAGAAGATAATTGAAAGGTTTAAATAACCAAATATGGTTTTCAATGTCACTTTTTTATGTAAAAAGCGCATACAGTATTAAAAAAACGACTCCTTTTTTAGGGGTGCTTTGAGTCAAATTAGAGTTGCTTCAGCTCCCCTAAAAATAGACTAAAAAAGCCTTTGATCTGAGCCCTGAGAAGCTGAGTCCTCTCTGCTCAGTAAAGGCTGAGAACGAAGCTCCGGTTGTAGGTCTGGACAAAGGTTCTGCTCCATGATGTTGGGGAAGGTTCAGACTGCATCATTTTCTGCTCACTGTGTGTTTTTGATGCTTCATTATGAAGAAATTGTGACTCAACGGTTAAACGGCGACTTCCTGTCAGATGTTCCATTATTGGGACCCCAGAGGTGTGACAGCTGCTAGCGGATCTCTGAGGATGTGGGTCGGACCGGAACAGAACCTCCTCTCTCTCTCTAATTGACTTTCAGCTGAATGTTTGGAGAGTCTTCTCCCCTCAGGGGACCATTATCTGCTGCTTCTCATGCATTTCATTACATGCTGAAGTTCCCTCCTCCTCCTCCTCCTCCTCTTCTTCCCCTCTGACCTCAGGCTGCCAAGAAGAGGAAGCTGTGGTTGAATCGGTGCAGTCACGCTTGGTGTTGCTGCTCCTCGCTGTAGAACCGACTCAGAAACAAACGATCCTTCTCTCTCCAGCATGGCCTCCTCAGTCCTCCTCCTCCTCCTCCTCCTCCTGGACTCCACGCGCTCGCTGCTTCCTCCTCGGATCTCCTTCCTTCTCAGTAAGTCCTCAGCTGATTCATTTTGATCCGTTCTGATCTGCCGTCAGGTTGTTCAGCTGTGAGCCAAGATGCTCATTTTGTGCAGAGAGTTGAGTTCAGAGAAGGTTCTCCAGCTTTCTCCTTTGGTTCTCATGTTTGCATCTGGCTCAGAACTTTTATCACTTCTTAACTGGCTGCAAAGCTGCAGAGCTTTGAGGTCCAAAGTTCTGAAAACATCTTGAGTTTCTGAGAATAAACAGAAACATGAGACAGATTGTGAGTCACACCATGACTGTGATCCAAAGCGGGAGATTCTGCTGTTACACCCAGTTTCACGGTCCGGTTCTGCTGTCATCTCACTTGGGAATATAGGCGTTCCCAGACTGTCATCGCAATGGAAGGAAAAACATTTTCATTTGATCCTTTAAGTTGTTTCAGAATAAAAGAAACATTTTCATGAGTTAAAAGTCAAATTTATTTATCCAACTTTGTTGAGCTCATCTTGTTTATCGGTACCGGATCAGGTTAATCTGGTTCTGGATCAGGGGTCACCAACCTTTTTAAGACTGAGGGCCACTTCAAGGGTACCGAGACTTAGGAAGGGCGACCATTACTGACCCGTTAGCTGTTAGCCGTTTATTTAGACATTATTATTTTGAAATCTCTATAAAAGATTAAAAAGAAGAGCAACAGAATAAAATGAAATTTCAAACTTAGCCCACTGGTGGGTTGTTCTTTATTTAGAGGACTCAGAGGGCCCCCCATGTGGTCCTTGAGGGCCCCCCATGTGGTCCTTGAGGGTACCGTGTTGGTGACCCCTGGTCAAGTTGGTGGGAAGTTTTCTGCATCCCTTCTTAATAAGCACTGGGTCACAGTGGGAAGGAACAACTTGCTCTTAACAGGAAGAAACAGGCAGAACCAGAACCAGGCTCAGCGAGAGGAGCTGATGATTCTGGATCCATCATTTGGATCCTTCCTCTGCTGCCTTCTGTCTTCAGAAATGGCTCCCAGAGGCTAATGGGTTAACCTCTGGTTAGTCAGCAGACCTTCATCCATTTTATTCTCATTGGCTGACCTCTGACCTCTACCACTGCAACCATGGATGAAATTTTGATTTCAGAAATGGGCGGGACGTAAGTATTTTTTTAACATAACTTATATTAAAGGTGTTTTCCAATAGTTCCTCTATGTTCATTTCTGTCACCTTCTCTTGTATCTCTGCTTTCCCTCTCCTGATAAAATATATGGATGAATGAGATGAACAAGGCGACCAAGACTCTCCT